TTCCGACGAACTGATAACCTCCTCCTTTTTTGGAAGTCGGTTAAAAACATAAAGTCAGGCAAACGTCTATGGTTCAAGCGTTGGCTTCTCATATAATGCGCTCTTAAAGTTGATAATTTGTTTTTTTTTTGGAATTCGGGCACCTTAAAAAGTGACTAATACAATTTTCAATTTATATTACTATGCGCTTAATTATTTGTAAGTGGTAAAGCAAATTTTTCATTTGGCTTTTTATTTTATTTTATTGTTTTTGCTTTAGCTCATAGCCTTACGTATATGTCATTTAGTTTTGCTATATGTGTGTATATCCTTAAGCTAATAAAACAATCTCTATTGGACAAATTGGACATTAGTTAATTTGTTTCAAAGAAAAAAAGTAAGAAGCACAATTTTTTTTTCTTATAAGAAATCATTAAATTGAAATGGTGAAAATTTCCTAAACCAAGAGATATGAAAAAACGAACGAAGCCAATAAAACCGGTCAAAATTGAAAATCGTCAAGTTGGCTATAAGGGTCTTTCACCATATTAATTTCTGAAGCTAGATAATAAAAGTTTCCAGCACAGCTCGATATTTGATGTAGGCCAGTAAGAAAAATTGTAACTGCTTTTTGTCTAACCCAGCAAAAAACAATAATTGCTTCTTCTGTGTACAAATAAGTATTTCTGGACTAGGATATCATTTTTAGATCACTTCGGAACCTGTTTAGGACTGTTTCAACATCATTTCGGGAATATTTCAGAACAATTTCTGCAGCTAGTTCGGGATACTTAGGCTAAGCTGTAGAACTTTTTTCTTGCTAATTATATTCAGAGTAGGTTCCATGGAAGCTTACTCTCAAAGATATCTTTCAGGTACTTGAATTTCTTCCCTCTTTATATCAGTTCACCTTTTCTCCCTTTTCCTGAAAAAGCAACTATTCCAGCCTTCTTAAGGTAAACGGTGACCAAAATGCAATTCTCCAAAATTTTAGCCCTCGAAAATATGCAGAACTTGCAATCTAAAACGAAAGTTATAGCCGGATTCCTCGAACTAAATATCCCAAAAAATATAATTGCCGTTATTTCATTATCTGAAAATGCTTTTTTTTAGAGCCATGGTAGTTATCCGATGCGGAAATATGTCACGGAAACGATTATATAATCCGCCATAAGGTCAATATGTAAATAAATTTATTTTGTTACATTAACCCCTAATTATCATCGAGCTTGTCTGACTTTCAACTTTGACTTGTGTTTCTACGAATATGCTCCTTTTTACCTCGTTACAAGATCAAGAGAAAATAAATAAATCGCTTAAACTTTTTAACTGAGCTGCTACGGGTCATATGAGGTCATAACAGCCAGATTAGCCTTGCTTGTAACACTTTTGGTCTACTGATTTTACGATGTAGTGAATGCGAAGAGTTTCTTAGGTTTAGGTTTGCCTCATAATGACTAATAATACTGCATAAAGGCTACTCTGATTCTCATGACCTCATATTTTGGTACATTACGTACAATAAAACCGTGTTTAAAAATGTTCTAGCACCTTAACCCTCTGAGGACCGATGTGGCTTATAGGCAACATTGAAATTTTCGTTTTTAAATCTTGCTTCATATTTTTATTATATTTTTTCAAAAAGCTGAACCTCATGCCACAATTACAGAACCAATTTGTTATCAGCGTCTTTTCGCAGTGACTGCTTGTACGAAACATAAATTTTGCTAAAAGTGGTTCTGCAACATTAAAAAATAAATAAATATATATTTTTAACAAAAGAGTTTGAGGTATAAAGTTTAATGGAGTAAATGTGATAAAGAATATCAAAGCTTGAAAACCGTTTTTGGTTTTTGTTAGAAAACTTTGCAAACATTTGTTTGCAACATTTTAAGACGGTCAAACCAAAAACCATGGACGTTCGAATTTTCTACTAGTTCATAACTAAGGATTAGCCGACAATAATATGCCGTTCTAAAAGCTTTAGTTCCAACCAAATTAATTCGGTCTCCAAAGAATTAATACTTTATATTTACTTTAAATACCTACGATTTTCACATGACTCCTCGTGCAGAATAACTTTTAGCTCGCCACCCGTTAATTTTTAAGCCACATCAAGTCTGTACACATTCTTAAGTGCATACATAAACTTATATATGTAATTACATTTACTCTTTCTGATAACAGTGTCTTCATTCTAATAATCCCCCTTTTCGCTTTTTCTAACTTTATTTTCATATTTCCACACTTGCGATCCTCACTCTATGAATTTATTTAAATTATTTTCTTTTTCAATTTCAATTTTTTTTTTAACCGCACATTTCCTCTAATTGTCACACTGCATACGATATCTAAAATTAATACAAAAAAAAAAATCAAATTTTTCTGCTATGTTTTATTTCATTGCAACGCTAGTCTACATTACAGACCCCGATCTAATTTTGCCACGCGGCGAAATGGAATTTACAACACTGGATCCGGCGCTGAAATAAACAACCTACCTGCAGATGCTGTCGGATAAACGCAAAAATAAAATAATAACAGCAAAATAGCTGCAACAATGCATTTTAAGGAATTTTAGTTTTTTTTTTATATTTTAAGATTTACGCTCGAATTTTTTTATAAAACCACATAGCATAAAATTAGTTAAATAAATTTAAGTTTTAGTGAAATTAAGAAACAATGTGTAGAGTAAGAGGAAAGTATTACAAATAAATATTAATAAAATTAAGCTGCAGAAGAAAGGCGAAAATAAAACTCACACAGAAACAGACTCGAAAATTGTAAATAACCACACAAAAAGAATTATACTTAAAATCAAATGCGAATAAGAAAAGCGATTTACAAATACAAATAAGAAACCAAAAGAGGATAACGCAAAGTAAGCAAGTAAGTTGTACGCCAATTCGCATCGTTGCATCAGAAGACTTTAGTTTGAAATTTAGCAATCAGAATCTACATACATAAATACATCATAATAACGGTAGCAAAATTAAACTGACTAATAGAAAACACTCACTCAATATACAATTCTCTATATTTTATAGCAAATGCTGGCATTAGTGTCCAAAAAATTTATTAGTTATGGTGAAAAGGCATTGCGGAACTGAACTTAATGTGGCAGCTGAGCATTGTGAAAATAGGCAAAACAAAAGTTAAACATTAATGTTATCCAAAAAATAACTAAATTAAAAATTGTTTTTTGTTAAAAAGCTACTACTTAAACTTAACGAACTTAGATATTGACAAGTATTCACGATATTACATGCATGTATCTTGGTCTTAGCTTTTTCGAATAAAAAATGCATTTCTTTTAAATAATTTGGCATGAAAATTTGCGAACTACAATAAATTACAGAAATGCATTCCAAAATACGACATATGTATATAATATTTACAGTGACCGTAACAGTTACAACTTTTATTTCAAAAATCGTTCTTCAACAATTATTTTTTTTACTTTTATTTAATTATTCCTTTAAAAACCGTTATTTCTGACTTTTATGTTATAAATCCAAAATAACAATTATTTTTGATTTTGATCTAAATAATCTGAAAATAACAGTTATTTTTTATTTTTAAATTATATGCCTTAGACAACGGTTATCGAGTTATCGGCAGTATTTCTAGAAAAAATAATCTCACGCCTAAACGTAGAACCTAAATGGAAAAGCACAGGAGGAGCTTTCTTATCTAATTTCATCAGCTCTTTAGAAAAAAAAATTTGAAGGTGTTTTTTTTTAGATTTTAGGGAAATCTGAGCATTATAAGGGCAACATTTCTAGAATTTTTGATTAAAAAAGATCCAATTAACCTGAATTCTCTGAAGATTTGCTAAAGATATGTCATACAAATTTTTTGGTTTTACTCCGGAAAAAATCTAACTTAAAGCACCTTATTCTAAAAACTGTTGTTTTTACTAGTCTTTTTAGGGATAGTATTCAACCTCTTTGAAACTAGTTGGAACTAGTTATACATAACCATATTGAAGCTTACGCTCTTCTTAAAATCAAGCCAAGTCTAAAACTTAGCAAAATGTCACACTGTGCATTGGTTTAAATTGCCAACGTTTGCCGGAAGGGTACTTACATATATTTTTGATTAGATCATACCCGAATTCATACCTATGTACATACATAACTATCTATTGGCAAACCATTTTTTTTAAGTATTATTCACATCTAAAGTTTAAAATCTTCAGGGCAAACGCTTTCATTCATTTAGATTTTCATTCCATCGTATCCACTCCTTTGTAAATTATTGTAGATGAATTTTTCGAAATTTACTTTTTCATCTGGTAAAATATTCTAGCTAAAATCCATATACCTTGCCTAAAATTTACGGTATATTTTATCGTACATTACAACGCATTTTTTCTGAGTGGGCGAAATTATCGTATGTGCCATACAAGAGTATTTTGTACGTAGTAAAAAAAAAATAATAATAATATTAAAAATTAAAAGATGGAAAAAACGATCTCCTGTAAAATTTGGTTTGCGCAGATGGGTCGATATGTTATTTAATATTTGTTCCTAAAGTTTTTTTCGCGGTTAACGTGACTTTAGTAATAAATGTACGCGATTTTAAGACAATTTTTTCAACCTCTAAAAATACATGGTGAACGAAGATATCGCCTTCTACTTGGAACACATTAGTCTTCATACACGCATGAAAATTTCCAAATAAAGAATTTTAAACAAAGAAAGATATTACGAAGGTACTTACATACATACATACTGCTACCTGCAAAAATCAAACTAATTTATGTAAGATGTAAAATACAATTTATAATAAAACTCGATCGTTGCATAAGGCCATACTTCATTGGTTGATTATACAAAACACAAATATTTATACACTGTACATTTACTCATACACACACACACACAGGTATAAATGCATACATGCATATGTAGACAAACATATGTGGAGTATTTCAAATGAACAGAAGAAAATTCCCGTAAATCAAACAAGAAAATCCAATACACGAATAGTCAAGAGAGTGTAATCAAAATCATTTGTAAATTAAATCATTTTATAGAAATTAGACAAATATATTTACATACACACATAGATATATACATACATAAACTTGTGTAAAGTTAAGTTTTGCCTAGTGTAGCTGATGAAATCAAAAAAAAAACAAGAATTTAATTTAAGTCTAACAAAGTAAATATGTGCAGTAAAGAACTTAAAACAATAAACAATAAAAAAAAGCAAAAAGGAGAAATATTCAAAACAATTAGAAAATAAATAAAATGCTGCAACAACAGCAGCATACATAAGTGGCATTTAATGTTAGTGATAATATATACATACATACATACATACTAATACATATACTTGTACATAAATAAATACCTACATAGGCACACACTTATGTAAGTACATTTACAGGCATACATAGAAACTTGCAGTTAAAAATTTACAAAGAAAAAAAAATACATATGTACGTTGAATATTTAAAACTTTTTACTAAATGTAATTTCTCCTCTTCGTATAACAAAATCGAGAAAAAGAAAACAAGCAAGTAGGCAAAAATAAATCTGGGTACATATGCAATTTCGAAAATTGCAAAATAAGCAAGGCTAAAGAATGCATGAGAGTGCTGCATTGAAGCGAAAATCAATTAACAAAATTAAAATGACACAAAAAATCGCCGAGACACGTCAATTCAATTTTGGGTAGTAAGTAGATTACGATCTGTATACCGTTTTTCCAGATCAGATCATTTTCCAAAGATATTTTAATTTTAAGTTTGCATTGCGAATGTAAAAAATTACGCGTTACGGATTTGTTGAGTTCAGGACGAGAGCAAAACGTTATGTCAAGAACGTTCCCTCAAAAGAACCATCGTGAGCAAAAGCAGCAGTTTGAACGGGAACAAAATGGGCCGAAAAGGTTCGGCAACATTTCCATAAAGAACAAAATAAGAAAGAAACTGGCGGAAATTTTCTCAAAAAGAACAAAATGACAACAAGACTCTGAAGAGCATTCTCAAGAAGAACAGAGTGAGAAAGAAACGTTCGGGATCAATGAGTACGAAATGAGAACGAAATAGATAACAAAGCGTCAAGAAAAGTTTTTGTCGAACCTACCTTTAAGAATGATAAGTATGCGTATGCATCTTGGGATGAAAAACCATTTCAGTGTGGACCATGATTGTTAATTCTAAGCCAGAACAAAGTTGAATCATTTCAACTCCCTTAACATTTATAATGGGGGTTAACTGTACCTGTATACTGAACAGTTTTTCATTTTCTGTGCAAGAAAAGTTCGAGTCTTATGTCTTTCGTTGACTTAAATTGCATAGTTATCTTTCCGGTATTTTTTCTATAAATTTTTTATTCAAACATTTCAAATTAAAGCAGCGCTATGAGAAAAACATTATCCTCGCTTCAATTTTTCGCCAATAGTTCAACGAAGTATTGTTCCCGTTTTGTTCTCTGCCGGTACGCTCCTGCGACTCTAGTTCCCACATTGTTCTTTGATAAAAAGTTATTTAGAATTTTTTTTATAGTTTCACACAACATTCTGGAGACTTTATTTCCCATTTTGATCTCTTAAAAATACCCTAAAAGTATTATTCGCTTTGTGAACATTCCCCAGGGATTTTGTTCTCATATAAATCCCGTTGCGAATGTTCTCGACGGTTTTTTTCTCATTTCGATTGGAGTTTTTAAGCGTTCTTGGGAGCAGAATTACGAGTTACTACAGTTAGTTTCTGACCATTCGAACGAACCTTGTGAACAAAAAACGACATGTCGTATGAGTAACATTATTTCCTGCTCTTATTCAAAAGATTTGCTATTTTTTTAATTTTTCCTTATTAAACCTTGAATCTTTTTTCATAAAAACAAGTATATCTTGGGAAAATTACCTGATCTGGAAAAACGATATCCAGATCCATAATCTACTACCCATATTAGATTTATGTGTTTCGGCGTTTTTTTTTTATCATTTCAAAACTTGAGATTTACCCTACAGTGTAATAGGAAAAATGTGTATTTATACTGAAATATAAAGACATGCACACATATAAAATTATGGTATATACATAAATGATAAATAAAACATGAGTATTGAAAATACACAACTAATTATTGTAAACATAAATGTAAATGTTAAAAATTAAAT